AATTACAGGAAAAAAATTATTAAAAATTCAAACATATGGAGGCTAAACAACACGCTTCTGAATAACCAACAAATCATAGAAGAAATCAAAAAAGAAATCAAAATATGCATAGAAATGAATGAAAATGAAAACACAACAACCCAAAACCTATGGGACACTGTAAAGGCAGTGCTAAGGGGAAGATTCATAGCATTACAGGCCTACCTCAAGAAACAAGAAAAAAGTCAAATAAATAACCTAACTCTACACCTAAAGCAACTAGAGGAGGAAGAAATGAAGAACCCCAGGGTTAGTAGAAGGAAAGAAATCTTAAAAATCAGGGCAGAAATAAATGCAAAAGAAACTAAAGAGATCATAGTAAAAATTAACAAAGCTAAAAGCTGGTTTTTTGAAAAAATAAACAAAATTGACAAACCATTAGCAAGACTCATTAAGAAACAAAGGGAGAAGAACCAAATTAACAAAATTAGAAACGAAAATGGAGAGATCACAACAGACAACACTGAAATACAAAGGATCATAAGAGACTACTACCAGCAGCTCTATGCCAATAAAATGGACAACTTGGAAGAAATGGACAAGTTCTTAGAGAAATATAACTTTCCAAAACTGAACCAGGAAGAAATAGAAGATCTTAACAAACCCATCACAAGCAAGGAAATCGAAACTGTAATCAGAAACCTTCCAGCAAACAAAAGCCCAGGACCAGATGGCTTCACAGCTGAATTCTACCAAAAATTTAGAGAAGAGCTAACACCTATCTTACTCAAACTCTTCCAGAAAATTGCAGAAGAAGGTAAACTTCCAAACTCATTCTATGAGGCCACCATCACCCTAATTCCAAAACCAGACAAAGATGCCACAAAAAAAGAAAACTACAGGCCAATATCACTGATGAACATAGATGCAAAAATCCTTAACAAAATTCTAGCAAACAGAATCCAACAACATATTAAAAAAATCATACATCATGACCAAGTGGGCTTTATCCCAGGAATGCAAGGATTCTTTAATATCCGCAAATCAATCAATGTAATACACCACATTAACAAATTGAAAGATAAAAACCATATGATTATCTCAATAGATGCAGAAAAAGCCTTTGATAAAATTCAACATCCATTTATGATTAAAACTCTCCAGAAAGCAGGAATAGAAGGAACATACCTCAACATAATAAAAGCTATATATGACAAACCCACAGCAAGCATCACCCTCAATGGTGAAAAACTGAAAGCATTTCCCCTGAAATCAGGAACAAGACAAGGGTGCCCACTCTCACCACTACTATTCAACATAGTTTTGGAAGTTTTGGCCACAGCAATCAGAGCAGAAAAAGAAGTAAAAGGAATCCAGATAGGAAAAGAAGAAGTGAAACTCTCGCTGTTTGCAGATGACATGATCCTCTACATAGAAAATCCTAAAGACTCTACCAGAAAATTACTAGAGATAATCAACGAATACAGTAAAGTTGCAGGATATAAAATTAACACACAGAAATCTCTTGCATTCCTATACACTAACAATGAGAAAACAGAAAGAGAAATTAAGGAAACAATACCATTCACCATTGCAACAAAAAGAATAAAATACTTAGGAGTATATCTACCTAAAGAAACAAAAGACCTATACATAGAAAACTATAAAACACTGATGAAAGAAATCAAAGAGGACACAAACAGATGGAGAAATATACCGTGTTCATGGATTGGAAGACTCAATATTGTCAAAATGGCTATACTACCCAAAGCGATCTACAGATTCAATGCAATCCCTATCAAACTACCAAGGATATTTTTCACAGAACTAGAACGAATAATTTCACAATTTGTATGGAAATACAAAAAACCTCGAATAGCCAAAGTAATCCTGAGAAAGAAGAATGGAACTGGAGGAATCAATCTGCCTGACTTCAGACTATACTACAAAGCCACAGTCATCAAGACAGTATGGTACTGGCACAAAGACAGAAATATAGATCAATGGAACAGAATAGAAAGCCCAGAGATAAATCCACGAACCTATGGTCACCTTATCTTTGACAAAGGAGGCAAGGATATACAATGGAAAAAAGACAACCTCTTTAACAAGTGGTGCTGGGAAGACTGGTCAACCACCTGTAAAAGAATGAAACTAGAACACTTTCTAACACCATACACAAAAATAAACTCAAGATGGATTAAAGATCTAAATGTAAGACCAGAAACTATAAAACTCCTAGAGGAGAACATAGGCAAAACACTCTCCGACATAAATCACAGCAGGATCCTCTATGACCCACATCCCAGAATTTTAGAAATAAAAGCAAAAATAAACAAATGGGACCTAATGAAACTCAAAAGCTTTTGCACAACAAAGGAAACTATAAGCAAGGTGAAAAGACAGCCCTCAGATTGGGAGAAAATAATAGGAAATGAAGCAACAGACAAAGGATTAATCTCAAAAATATACAAGCAACTCCTCCAGCTCAACTCCAGAAAAATAAATGACCCAATCAAAAAATGGGCCAAAGAACTGAACAGACATTTCTCCAAGGAAGACATACAGATGGCTAACAAACACATGAAAAGATGCTCAACATCACTCATTATCAGAGAAATGCAAATCAAAACCACAATGAGGTACCATTACACACCAGTCAGAATGGCTGCTATCCAAAAGTCTACAAGCAATAAATGCTGGAGAGGGTGTGGAGAAAAGGGAACCCTCTTACACTGTTGGTGGGAATGCAAATTAGTACAGCCACTATGGAAAACAGTGTGGAGATTTCTTAAAAAGCTGGAAATAGAACTGCCATATGACCCAGCAATCCCACTTCTGGGCATACACACCGAGGAAACCAGATCTGAAAGAGACACGTGTACCCCAATGTTCATCGCAGCACTGTTTATAATAGCCAGGACATGGAAGCAATCTAGATGCCCATCAGCAGATGAATGGATGAGGAAGCTGTGGTACATATACACCATGGACTATTACTCAGCCATTAAAAAGAATGCATTTGAATCAGTTCTAATGAGATGGATGAAACTGGAGCCCATTATACAGAGCGAAGTAAGCCTGAAAGATAAAGACCATTACAGTATACTAACACATATATATGGAATTTAGAAAGATGGTAACGATAACCCTATGTGCAAAACAGAAAAAGAGACTCCTATGTATAGAACAGACTTGTGGACTCTGGGAGAAGGCGAGGGTGGGATGTTTCAAGAGAACAGCATTGAGACACGTATATTATCTAGGGTGAAACAGTTCACCAGCCCAGGTTGGGTGCACGAGACAAGTGCTCGGGCCTGGTGCACTGGGAAGACCCAGAGGGATTGGGTGGAGAGGGAGGTGGGAGGGGGGACCGGGATGGGGAATACATGTAAAAAAAAAAAAAAAAGATACACTATGGTTGTGATAAAAAAAAAAAAATATGTATAAAGGGAATGAATTCAATCTAGAGGCCCAAGGAAGGCTTCCTTGAGGAAGTGATGTTGGAAGGATTAGTAAGAATTCATGCTTTCAGGCAAAAGGGTTAGCAAGATGGGAGGGCTTGGGGTGAAAAGTGGGCAGGAAAGCAGTTAGCAAGAGGAGTGTGGCTTGAAATGAACCTGGAGGTGCAGGCAGGGGCCAATCAGATTTGTATGTTAAAGGAGTAGGGCATCCTGGCCACTTGAGAATTTCTATGTGTAGTCTATGTTTATAAAGGACTGACTCCAAATATTTTAATAATTTTTATATTGACTCCATTCTAAGAGACAGTATTTGAGTATACTAGGTTACAAAACATATTACTAAAATTAAATTTACCTGCTTATTTTTACTTCTTAAATCTAGTTACCAAGAACATCTAAAACTGCCTATATGGCTCACATTGTTTTTATTGGATGATGGTGGTCTGTGTAAAGAATGGGGGTGTGTGGTGCAGGTCACAGGCACAGGGGCTTAGGCTGCTCTTAAGTCATCTCTGGGCTTCCCTGTGGCTCAGACAGTAAAGAATCTGCTTGCAATGTGGGAGACCTGGGTTCTATCCCTGGGTGGGGAAGATCCCCTGGAGGAGGTCATGACAATCCGCTCCAGTATTCCTGCCTGGAGAATCCCCATGGACAGAGGAGCCTGGCGGGCTGCAGTCCATGGGGTCACAAAGAGTCGGACATGGCTGGGCGACGAAGCACAGCACAAGGCATCTCTGAGTGCCACACTGCAGGCCACGTTGGTATTTCTGAAGGCACACTGAGGAGAGATTTTACAGTATCTCCTAAAAGAGGGGAGGTGGGAGAAAGGGGCTTGGAGGAGAAAGGGCTAGAGCTGTCAGAACTAGAGCAGGGCTCCAGGGGTTCTCACACTCACAGCTGTCAGCACGTCAGGACCTTGGTGAGATGCACTGCAGCGTGCCCAAGAGACAGGCAGCAGGGCTCTAAAGTGTGACATTGGTCCCCCCTACACTGCTCTGATGTTTGGAACCATATGTGGCATGTGGTATGTGCGATGCAAGTATATGTTGGTATCATTACTGTTTGTATTATTTTGTGTCCAGTTTTGGTGTGGAGGCACCAGGGTCACTGGCCTTCTGAGATTCCTGTGGTCCTGGGCCCAAAGGGTGAAGGGCCCATACAGGCCCATAGCATCCCAAACTGCATCAAACACCAGGGATATTTGACTGACCTTGTAGTTTAGGGAGGGAGCCTTGCTAATAACTGAGATTCATTTTCTTGCCAATTGGTAAGTGAAAGCTTGGAGCTGGGTTTAATTTGACTTAGGAAAAATAATGTGCCTATTCTCGCTGCTGAGTATTAATGTTCAAATAAAATTCATGTCTACTACTGAGGCCTTGGAGTTTTGAGGCAAGAGAGAGACTTCAACTTTTTAAGGGGAATCTTAAAATAGACTTATATTTTTTGATTAGTAGCCAGTACTACGGGGCATGTAGAAACTCTTCAATGAAAATATTCTTCTAATATAGTTGCCTGTAGGTCCACATATTTGAGATGTTATAAACTTTATTTTCTAACCTGTAATTTTTTTAGGTCCTTGAAGGCTTCTGGATGAATTCTGAATATCCTGTTGCTCTTTAAATGGAGGTTTTCCAGTTGCAGGCAGTTATGAAAATCAGACAAATCAATTTGTGATATCCTGTTGAATGACAGATCCAAACTCTGTAATGACTTCAGTTTCCATAGTCCTGTTAAAATTAAAAAGCAGATTGAAATATAAATCTGATATTTACTGTAGCATTGTTTATAACGGTAGAAAACTGGATACAACTTAAATGGTTCACGACAGAGAAACAGGCAAACAAAGGATAGTCTATCAATACTATAAATACCGTGCAGCCTTAAAAGAGAACGGGGTAGACCAATATGAACTGACTGAACAGGAAGGTAAACGTTAATTTTCAGAAAAGTATGGAGTATAATTCTAATGTTTTGCAAAAGAAGAACCAGATACATATGTTTTGAGAGAGCAGAGAAGAAGGCCTGGAAGGAAATGAACTAAGGTACCAGTTGTATTTACACTTTGGAGCAGGGTGGTGAAGAAAGGCGAAACTATGCTTTTATTTTATACACTTTGAATTCTTTCTTTATATGAACATGTGCTAATTTGGGGGCTTCCCAGGTGGCGCTAGTGGTAAAGAACCTGCTTGCCAATGCAGCAGACATAAGAGATGTGGGTTCAGTCCCTGGGTGGAGAAGATCCCCTGGAAGAGGGGATGGCAACCCACTCCAATATTCTTGTCTGGAGAATCCCATGGACAGAGGAGCCTGGCAGGCTATTGTTTTCAGGGTCACAAAGAGACCAACACCACTGAATCTACTTAGCATGCATGCACATGCTAATTTTATAAGAGCATAAGTAAAAAAATCTAACCTGGATTGAATGAGATAATTATAATACTTGCTTATTTGATTGACCTGTGGGTAAAACTGGATGATCTTGCTATGGTTATAGAGAAAAAAGTTGTTTTGATGCTTCATTTACATGGATGAGTTCTTCCCCTTTTCAGTTATTATTATTCTATTTTGTAGAATCTTTTAACTACTTATTATTGATAAGTGTTTTCTAGAAATTCTTATATTAGGTAATGTATTACAGCTAGATATTTTACTTTCTGGCAAAATCATCTAATTGAGTGTTGGCCTCTGCCTTTGTATTTCATTTGATTCCAGAAGTAACCATTTGGCACTGAAGATAAACTTTGAGAATGAGGTGCTAGCCATAGCAGTCTTCCAAATTTGATTTCCCATATGAGTCTCACAAGAAAGCCCTGCATTTTTACATTTCCTTCTGCTCTGTTCTCACATGTAGCCTGTGTCTTTAACAAACCTCTACATAGCAGATCATGTTGGTTCGATTCCAGAAGGGTTTCTTTCTTGTCTACTGTCTGCAGAGTACTTACTATAAGACTGATTATGCTGAGAGACGATGACTTAATTGAAATGGCTTCACATCTATGCCCTCACATGTTCATTTCAGCTTATAGACTGAGCAAGAGATCACAAGGACGACAACCCAGTCAAAATATTATAAGCAGGGCACTCGGTGCCGGGGACAACGACAGCAGAGAACCCTGGTGCCAGGTCACGTGATAAAGCACACACACGGGAAAGAGCGATTTGTTACACAATGCAGTTACACCCCCACCAATAAAACCATCTTTGGTTGTCAGTCTCTCCATCAGATGTTGGTCCCTTCAGGGCAGAATTCACATCTTTGTGAACACGTGTAAGGCCTGTTGTATGATACACATTCCATAGGCTAGAGGTCACAGTGGTTGACCTGCACAGAAATTTACAAATCATGGAGCCAACATTAAAGATTCAATACAGATATGTACATTTCTAACTTTTCTTGAAATCTTGGAAGTCTCAAATGGCACAAAGCATTTGGCTGGAGCTGAATGAAGGCTGCCTGCTTTGGATGGGAAATGTGCTTATAGATGAATAAGATGTCTCTATCAAAAATAGGAAGACAAGGAATAGGCCAAGAAGCCCTCATGCTTAGAACAATGAGAGACAGCCAAGGTTAATATTCAGCGGGCACATGCTGAATACTTATGAATACAACATGAGAAACACGTCCATACTGGCTCATGAGCAGCCGCCACTGACCCCTTGTGTGCACTGCCCTGGGCACTGGACCGACTGCATCCTCCCTCCCCCCTCCCTCCCCCAGAAAGATTCCACTCCATCAATACAGCCAGGAGGCTTCCAACTTGGGAACCCAGGCAAAAGGCCTTTTGTTAAACATTGTGAATGTAACCTCTGGGGAAAACCTGTTTCTTTGTGGAATGAATATCCCTATATGTTTTAATATGCAGACATATGGGTCTTGAGGAAAAAGTGCCACACAGAAACTGCGATGAAGGAGTTTCTTAACATTTTCATGAGATTTCCTGGCCTGTATAGGGATGTAAGCTCATGGTTGCTACTATATCTAGTGCTTAATCGAATTGAATAAGTACCCCAGGAGTTCAGTGATGAGGGAGACCACATCTATCAATTGACAGGGGGTGTTGAAACCTCCACCTCTAACCGTGGATTTGAAATGCAGCTGGACATTGTGGGACCTTCTCAGAGACAGGGCCCTGTGTTCCTGACCTCTCATCTGAATAGAAAAGCTTTAGCCTCCTAGGCCTTCCCCAAGTTCCAAACAGCAAATTTAATCAGAGAAGTAAGAAAATGTAGAAACCAAGGAAAACAATCAAGTAAGACAAAATAATAACAGTTTATAAAAACAGAATGATCATATGATCCAGCAATCCTACTTCTTGGAATATACTCAGACAGAACTATAATTCAAAAAATACATGCACAGTTATGCTCACAGCAGCACTGTCAAAAGAGCAAAAGCAGGAAAACAACCTAAATGATCCATCAACAGATGAAGATAGAGAAGATGTGGTACGTGCATACAATGGGATACTATACAACCGTAAAAAAGGATGAAACAATGCCATTGGCAGCAACATGGATGGACCTAGAAATTATCATAAGTGAAGTAAGTCAGACAGAGACACACAAATACCATACGATATGTGGAATCTAAAATACGGCACAAATGAACCTATCTACAAAACAGACACAGACTCATGGACCGGGAGAACAGACTTGTGGTTGCTAAGTTGAGAGTGGGGAGAGAAGAGGGATGGACTGGGAATTTGGGGTTGGTAGATGCAAATTATTAGCTTTAGGATGGATAAACAACAAGGTCATACTGTATATAGCACAGGGAACTATATTCAATATCCTATGACAAGCCATATTGGAAAAGAATATAAAAAAAGAATATACGTATATATGTGTGTGTGTATAAGTGAATTACTCTGCAGAAATTAGTACAACATTGTAAGTCAACTACACTTCGTTAAAAAAGACCAAAACAAAACAAAACAAAACACCACAGTCTCATCTGAGCCAGCTCTGCAGGCTGATGTGCCCGTTCTGCAAGCAGAGACGCTTTGACCTGGGTACCAAGGTGTCCTATGGCATGCCCAGTGTGTCCCCCTGCAGAGCAAGGCCGTACGGGGGCAGCTGCCACCTGTGGCTGGCAGGAGGCAGGGAGGCTGCTCTCAGCAAATGTCCTCTGCCAGCTCGGTGGAAGCTGTCTGTAGCAGGAATAACTCCAGGCCAAACAAACACTCCAGCTATTTGAGTTTTGAAATAAAATTGGGGGGTGGGGCAGTTAGCAACTGAGGGTCATTTTAGCTGCTACCACTACCTTACAAGGTACCTTGTAAGGTACAGTAGCAAGAACTGGGATGGGAAAGAGAATTAAATACTCAGGATGATCAAATGGCCCTAAGGGAGAACTAATATTTTTGCATACCTGTTCTGTATGAGGTAGAAGAAAGACATCTTACGTATATCATCACTCTGTTACAGTTTTTACAAATGCTCTAAGTCTCACATCAACCTTTATATATATCACTATCTCTAGTTAAAGATAAGAACCAGGAGGCTTTTCTAGGTTAAGTGACTTGCTTAAGGTCAATAAACAAGTAGAGTGATACAAGGTGCTTCCCTGGTAGGTCTGTTGGTAAAGAATCTGCCTGCAGTGCAGGACACTGGGGTTTGACCCCTGGGTTGGGAAAATTCCCTGGAGAAGGAAATGGCAACCCACTCCAGTATTTTTGCCTGGAAAATCCCATGGACAGAGGAACCTAGCAGGCTACAGTCCATGGGGCCGCAAGAGCTGGACACGACAGTGACAAAACCATCACCAAGGAGTACAAAAGATAAAGCAGAGAGTAAGGGCACATATCGAACCTACCTACAAAACCATAACAGGCTCACAGATACAGAGAGCAGACTTGTGGTCGTCAAGGGAGAGGGGCGGGGGAGAGGGATGGACTGGGAGTTTGGGTTGATAAATACAAACTGGAAGAGTGGAACCAGAACATGCCCAAGCATGTTTGGGGATGGGGGCGGGGTGGCTTTTGAACACGGACAGTTGTAAAACTTTTTGACTTCCTTCATAATATCCAGCTAAGATCCACAAGAAGATAACTTTTGCACATGGGAATTAAGACTGTGATGTTCAGTTATTCCTTCCACATGAAGATTTTCTCTTTACTTCTACTTTTAGAGAATCAAGCTTTAATGCTACTAAGAGAACTGGTGAAGTTCTACAAATGATCTTTTCGTTTGGGGGTCTCTCAAGATGGAGTTGGGGAATTTGGGTAAACTCTTCCAAGACCCTTGACTGTGTTTCTCAATAAGGGGAAGTATGTTCTTTTATAAACTGCATGGTGAAATTGGTGTTGAAGGACATTCAGGTGAGTGAAAGAGGTTGGAGGTGCATTACTGGGTGGGGATTGGTTATCAGAGAGCACATTTCATGTTTAAAGAGAGTTGAATGTTGGGAGAAAAATATGGAGGCAATTTTGTGGAGATGGGATTATTTATTAAACTCTTCTGATGATCACTTAGGCCACAGGAGGCAAGAATTTGATTAGCCTTTGCATTTAAATGGCCAGAGACACTTTTATTATTTCCAAGAAATTATCTCAGTGTCTATTAGAGAAAAGGCTACAGAGGGTATGTCCAGACATTACACTATCTTAGAAACATTTCTTCGGACTCTGAACTTCCTAAACGCTCTTCCAAATGTGATAATATGATAACATAAAGTTTATGGCTTCAAGTTCAAAGAGTATTAAGAATTGGAATAGAGTCTGGAATG